GGGCGCTGTCCCTCAGCTCTTCAGCTCAAGGCTAGCACTCTACCACTTAAGCCACAGCGCCACTTCCAGCTTTTTCTTTTCCAGCTTATGTGGTGTTGAGGAATTGAACCCAGGGCCTCATGCATGCAAGGCAAGTGTTCTACCCTGAGCCACCTTCCCAGCCCCTGCCTCAGCTTCTGCCAGAATTACAGATGTGTTCCACCACACCTGGCCAATCATAACATTTTTAAAAGCCTTTGTCATCTGCAGTAATTGATTTTTTTTTTAAATAAGGAAGACTATGGTTACTTAAAAACAAACAAAAGAACACAGCTTCTAACCTCAATTCTACCATCAACTACTATCCTATTTGGCTGTGTTCCCAAGTACACACAGTCACACATGTCCATGCCACAGGCCTGCCATTCAGAAGGCACACTGATGTACGAGCGGTGTGACTCAGCAACCCTGAGCCACAGCATGAAACTTCTTCCACATCACCAGGTTGCTAAGGTGGCAAACGTTTTTGAAATGGCAGCACTCTAGGAAAGTATACCAGTTAACTTCATTAGTGGTAGGCACTAGATCCTACCACATAGACTCTGGTCACAGGCAGCCATAAGCAAGAGACACATCCCATCCCACGGTGGCCTCCTAGACAGGTACCTGCTGCAGTAAGTCTTCACCAAGTCTGCCAAGCACAGAGATGGCACATCTAAGCCCAGAAGCTTCACTATCTGCATGTAGGTGCCAGAAAACATATCCAGGTCTGCATATAACAGGGTGCAAATGGTTCCCATGGTAAGGGGCCAATTATGCTGCCGGCAGGTGATTAAAACACAGCAGCCCACCAACACCTCCTTCTTCTGGAGCCTGGCAGCACGGATGCCAGAGTGCCTGTACGCCTTTTGGTAATAGGCAATTGCTGTGTCCTCAAACGTTGGTGGTAACTGGAGCACTCGACAAAGGTCTCTCACTCGGCGAAGACCTAAGAAAACCCATAGCAAGAGTTAAGAGAGAGGTCAAGTTGGATGCCAGTGGCTTACCCCGTAACCCTAGCTTCTCAGAATGGGGAGATCTGAGGGTCACAATTCAAAGCCAGCCTTTGAGACTCAAATTCAAAGCCAGTCTGTGAGACTCAGTACTCAGGCCCTGAGTTCAGACCCCAGATCCAATGCACACATGCACACACACACACACACACACAAAATAAGGTCAAAGGAACTAGTAAACACCTATTAGTAAATTCTGCTGTGAATCAAATTAGTGCTGCTAACAGATACAAGATGTGCAAATAACATATATTTTTGGATGGACTGGAGAACACTTTGTGCAGTTCTTTTTTTATGGTTTTATCTTTTCCCCTTGAGTGATAGTAATTGAACCCAGAACCACATGCATGCTATACAAGCGCTCTACCACTAAGATAGCTACATTCTAGCTCTCACTGGTACAGAAATAGTTGGGGAAAGAGAAGTCCTATTCAACCCACCATTTTTCGGAGGCTGGTTTTATTTGTAGCTGATCCACTTTTAGGCATTGGGGATTCATGCTAGGCACACTATCTACCAGTAAGCAACAGCCCTAGCACACTTTTAGCCAAGCTCCTGAGGCTACCACAAACATCCTATACTTGATTACCACAGCTCTTAGAACCATCCCCCATTCTTTCTTTCTGCTTTGCTTTTTTACTTTTTTTTTTGCTGATCCTGGGCCTTGAACCCTGTCCTGGGCGCTGTATCTTACCTCCTTTTGCTTAAGACCAGCACTTTATCACTTGAACTACAGCACTACTTCAGGCTTTTTTGTAATTAATTGAAGATAAGAGTCTCATGGACTTTCCTGTCTGGAATGGCTTGGAACCATGATCCTCAGATCCCAGCCCCGAGTAGCTATGGGTGTAAGCCACCAGTGCCTGGCTCTCTCTTTTCTAATGTTATGGTTTTTGTTACTGTATGTTTAGATCAAACCTGAGGTTCTTGCTCGTACTCCAGACTTCCAAGTGCTGGGATTATAGGAATATACCACAGTGCCAAGATACTCCAATTTTTTTCTTTTTCCTTTTTTGTGTGCCTGTATGTGTGCCAGTCCTGGGACCGGCACTCAGGGCTTGGGCACTGTGCACTGTCCCTGAGCTTTTTTGCTCAAGGCTAGCATTCTACCACTCGAGTCACAGCTCCACTTCTGGCTTTTTGGTGGCTAATTAGAGATAGGAATCCCATGGACTTTCCTGCCTCAGCTGGCTTCAAATCAAGATCCTCAGATCTCAGCCTCCTGAGTAGCTAGGGTTACAGACAAAAGCCTCTGGCACCCAGCTTTCTCTTTCCTTTTTTTTTTTTAAAGCATCAATTAGTTGCTCAAGGGGAATTTCATTTCAACATATCTACATATGGATACAATGTTCTCAGATTTACCCCTGCTACCAAATCTTTATTTCTAATTACTATTCTCTTCTAATCCACCTCACACCAGGAAATGCACTAAGATAGAAAAGACCATCAGGATTTTTGTTGGTGGTGGTTGTGGCCATGGGGCTGGAACTCAAGGCCCAGGGAACTGTCCCTGAGCTTTTTCACTCAAGGCTAGCACTCTACCACTTTGAGTCACAGCACCACTTTGGGTTTTCTGGTTGTTAACTGGAGATAAAAGTCTCATGGACTTTCCTGCCTGGGGTGGCTTTGAACTGAGATCCTCAAATCTCAGCCTCTTGAGTAGCTAGGATGACAGTCATAAGCCAGTAGCCCCTGGCTTCAGGATCATTTCTTTAAAGTTACTGTATTGTAAAAAGTTGACTCTCACCTCGTTGCTGGCTGCGACTAATTTGCTCATTTTCCCCGGTGCTTCGAGAATATGTAATTTCTGTAAAAAAGAATATGTTATTTCTGTAAAAATAATGAACAACCAATAGTACATTTAGTCCAATGCTCTCCCACTACACAAGGTCAGAAAGTAGAATTCAAATCAGTGTGTATCTGCTGTCTGTCTCATATAAGATGCCCAAGGATGCACAGGAAAAGGTCCGTCTGGTTTTCTCAGTTCAGGGCAGTACCAAATCCACAAAGTGAAGGTTTAGTTCCACAGTGAACGAACTCCAACAGCTCCAGTCTATCTAAACTCTCATCCAAGCTAGGCAATTTTCTCGGCTGCAGATTTTTTCCAGGGGAGGGGGGTTGACTGCGTTTCAGGGTCTCGAAGGGGATAGAATGGGGATTCTGGGGTTAGTCGCTCCACTGCCCCAGGCCCGGAAATGGGGGGCACGGGCAGGTACCTCGAAGGTTGCCCTCGTCGGTATAGGTAGTGGTTAGGGTCCCCTCGGTGACCACGCAGCCGCAGGCGGAGCACACGAGCTGGCTCTGCGAGTAGTGCGAGTCTTCCACGAGTTCAGCGGAGCCACAGTCCGGGCAGCGGCCGCCCTTCGGCATCGCTCCTACCTGCCCAGCGCCCCGGGAGCCCCCGCTCGCCCACTGCTACTTCCCCAACAGGAACCGCGCAACGACAGGAACCAGGGAAGACCCCGAGAGAAGCCGCAACGCTTCCGGCCCGAGCGAGAGCGCGAGCGTTCGCCCCGCCCCGCGGTTGCGCGCGCCACTTCCGGTCTTCGCGTGTGAGGACTCGGAGAGAAACCAGAGCTAGGAAAAGAGGTTCCCGTCCTGAGCTGCGTCTCAAGTTCTCTGCCCTCAGTAGTTGGAGGCATCGCCCTGGGGCTGGAATTTGGATAAACTGTCTACCTACTTGGACACGGGGCACCTACAGGAAATTGTTGACATTCCTGATACACTTTCTTTTTTTTTATTGTAAAGATACTATACAGAGGGTTACAGTTACATGAGTGAGGTAATGAGTAC